TCACCCGCTGAAGCTCGTAACGCTCTGATTAGAATGCCAGCAGAAATGAAAAGGGATGGTGCTGGTGTAAAGACACGGGAGAGGCAGCAGGACAAGCACAGATGCCCTGGAATCTGCTCCCCCTCAAATACACAAGAGGACCGACACGTGCACACCAATAAAGCACACAAGGCGAGCTAACAGGCTGCACACGAGCTTCAGACACAATTTATACAACGAGTTTCTCAGTCAGATCTGGTGTCAGAGGCTGAGCCGTGCCTATTCTGAACCGGATACATGAGACACATCAAGCAGAGTGTTATCTCGCGCTAAGTGAATATTGCATTCAGCTGATATGTGATATTTGAATTTCCCATTAGGGGGGAAATGTGTGTCAGAGTGAAAAAGCTCAGTGATGCTTGCTCATTTCAGAGCAGGCAGTGAATGGAAACCTTGCTCCACAGTTGCAGTGTGTCATGGTGGTGATAAGGATGCTGTGATGGAGGGGGACTCCTGAGGCGGTGACTAGTAATAAAACTGACTGCTGTTGCTCACAGGGTCACCTACACAGCAGCCCGAGTCAGTTTGAAGACTAACTATCATTTACTAGAAACTCAACTCAACCACTGTGATCTTCTACGGCAGATTGAAATGGGTCTTTATCGACTCGAGAAACTCCAGTCTATTCACGTCTGTCAATTTGTTCAAACTCTGCTTTCAATTTCCCCAACGTTGGCGAGCGAGTAAGAGAGGGTAACGTCAAACTCCCAAACATGACAGAGCTGGCTCTTTCTGACGAGAGGAAGCCATTGATTTTTCCTCCATTTCACCATCAATCTGGTGGAGAAGAGGTGGCTGTGGGTGCTCAGACAGCTGATGATGTGATTTGTAAGCGTGGACCACCGGTGAGAGAATTGCTCTGACTCTCAACACGTGGCAAAGTGACTACCGGCGTCTTCAGCGTCCAGTCGCAAGATTAACAGCGGGGGATCTACTGATGGTCTCCTTCGGCCGAGGGAGTATTTTCTCTGTCAGCCACACTAACATTTGTATTCAGCAGACACACTGTCAAGGCTTGTGTCACTCCATTGTGAAAAGTATTCTAGAGTAGCAAGAAGCAATCAGTTTCATTATCAGTCCATCTGTTGATTGTTTTCCTAATTAATTATTCAGCTTAGAAATTGTGAAAAGTGCTCGTCACTGTTCCCGGAGCCCATGATCTTCAAATTGCTTTTTTTTTCAACCAAAAGTTTAAAATCTAAAAAGGTACTTTTAGCTAGGGGCTGCTCTATGAATGGCACTACAGATAGTACGTCAGTCTGTCCACCTCTTCATTCTATCTTAACTGGATGAAAGGCCATGATGTACTTTTAACCCAATTTGTTTGTCTGCATGTCAGCCTTATTACTGGAAAGACTACCGGCCAGATTATCATTGAACTTGGTGGAAAGGGCCAAGAAAGGACCAAGAAAATGTGGATAGGATCAAAATCAAGGGGCAGATGCATTAATTATTAAATTCTAAACAATTTGTTGCTTACTGGAAAAATTCATTTGAATGTGGCATCACCAATAATGTTTTATACTCTTTTATATCTTTGTCAGGGCACAAGAAGGTCTCAAATAACGTTTTTGTTTTGTTTTTAATACTTTCAAGCCTCCTGATTGGCTATGTTGCATACCACGTACTGTACCAACAACATGACCTGTTTGTTGCCAGCCATGTCATCCCCCAGTGTTTCCTGTCTCTCTATTCTGTAAATATGTGTATGGCATAACTTTCATTTCAAACCACATACGCATTTTGGACAATCATCATCATCACTCATTTATTGCACACACATTTCAGCATTTGAAATAAATAGACACTGCAGATTTTTTTTCGGTAAATACTCATGACATGTAGGAATGATTAAAACATCACAGATGACATAAAGGCATTACATCATTAAAAAAATTAATTACACATGACAATACAAAGACATTAATAAAACTACAATTTCATCAAACAACTTCTTATGCAGAAGTCGAAATGTTCTCTTCATACAGAGTTTATTAAAAAGCAGAGTATCCACCTCATGCTGACACTTATTCTGACCTAACAACACCATCATAGAAAACAGAGCTCCTGCATAAACGCTGCACTGCAGGTTCGATTGAATACCATTGTAATGTCTCTCTAACATCTAGTGACACCGTGCAGGCTTTCTAAGGAAGGAGTAATCCTCTTTAGATCATTTGCAAAGCAATTAGGCATGCCTCCACTGCTATTAAATATGAAGATAACAGCCTATGAGATAAGATGCTATTTGTACTACGTATCAAATGTGGATAGCTGCCTAAGAGCCCTGATATCAGGGATATATATTAAATTCCTTGTAAATGAAATTAAAAATTACGACAGTAAAAAATTAAAGAGACATATCTACTCTACTATCTATCATGAAATTGAATTTATCAATTTAATGTCCTCAGACCTAAATCCTCAATTAATGGAGCTATAACTATGCATCACATCATAAATACTACACATTTTATACAGTGCAATCACTTTAAATGCATGGCTTCATGGATAAGATCAAGTCTGACATTCCACTGAACAAGGCAAATATATAAATACGTTTAGCTGCCAAAATAAATTGTCAAACATATTGAGAGTGGATCATCGCCACGCTGACAATCACAGGAAACCCTGACCACACTAGGATTTTATTGTGAAAAGAAAGGTGCCCAGATCAAACGGCGTCACTTTTGAAACCCAAAGTGAGTTGAACTACGGCGACTCGCAACATGCATTTGTCAGCAGGAACCAGAGAGCCTCTTCTGCATGTGTTTCTATCATCACTACACAGAGAGAACAAACGCCACTGACAAGAAAGGAGCCAAAAAAAAAAGAAAAGCAGATTTCCCACTGACCTGTGACCCGGGGACCAAGGGGCCGCCCCGTGTGCATACAGAGGAGGTTCAAACTGAGTTTATGACTGCATTATCTCTCCTCCTTCCTCAACACCTCTCCACCCATCAGTGGACACTAGCAGCCACTACACCGGAGCACACAGACCGGGCATCACTCATTCACTCGCCTCCTAGGTGCCTTTGTCAGGTGATTGCTGGCAGAAAAAGGAAAACAGATCAATACATCTCCCATGGGCCTGACAGGTAATCTTTACCTGGGATGAAATATGAGTGGTACCGGCCTGCTGGATTCCTTAACTGTAACAGGGCAATTGACTGGCTTTGCGGAAGCCATTCCCCCCCCCCCCCCCCCCCCCCATTTCCTGGCCATTGGAAATACATTTTGCAGCATACAGTCTGGCTGAGATGACATTATGGGGACTGCTAATTACCAGAGAGTCAGGAAAGGTGTTTCCCCTCCCGCTACTAATGGAACTGTATCTGAAGTGATGCTTCTTCCTGCCCTGTCAATGCCTTGGCACCAAAACACAGACTGACTGATAGAGCAATAGGTGGGAAGCTCTCCTTAAAACACTAAACAGTCAATACCTGTCAACCAGAGGCTTCAAAAGGAAACCAATGTATTCATCAAAAACTTCAAATTATGAATGTGGATCATGTATGTGTGGCATGTGAATATCCCACGAAGCTGCTGGACTGTTTGGCCAAGCTGCAGCAGCTGTAGCCAGGTGTGTGTGTGTGTGTGTGTGTGTTCTTTGCCTCAACACTTTGACTGATTCCTGTGGCAGGATGTCTTGTGTGAGGCATCCATTTAGACGAGTGTGCACACACAGCATTTATAAATGTCATCCCTGGCCAACATGATCACATAAAGCCTTCTCAGACGGATTATTGCGGACGTATAACTCACGTTAATTGGCAAATCTCATTCTACTAAATGCGATCCTTCTCTCAGAGAAGGCTTTAAAGTGTCTGAAAAGACATGCAGAATGTGGCTGATGATAATGCGGATCGTTTCACTACAAAGGTATCTTGTGATCATTATGGAAAGTGCATACCTTTGCCTTTTGGTGTTGGGAAGGATTTCAGATAAGCAATTTAAAAACTGTTGCACAAATTCAAATCTCTTCTCTTAAAATTGCCCTCAAAAAGACATGTTTTCTATTGAAATGTCAAACCCCAGGAGAGATAATGTATAGGGGAATGTGTTTGTGTTTTTAAAGACAGTCATCATCTGTATGTGGTTTAGGTTAAGTAGAATGTACTTCACTTGACTCCTATATAGATATGCAGTTTTCTGACAATACGGCATGTTTACCAGCTGTGAGCTGTTGTGTTTGATCTCAGTGTACGCCGCCATTGATCTTTTAATGCATCTGATGCTGAGAGAGTCGGTGAAATGTATACCCCAAGGGTAGGTGAATGTACAGTGCACGACTCTCCTTTCCCGTCTTCAACAGCTTCTGCATCTCCTCTCCACCGGCCCCACTGCTGCTGGAAAACACACTGTTCAAACAGATTTGCAGCTGGCCTTGAACTTAAACACATTTGGGGACATTTAAATACGGAAGATAGGCTAAATAGAGAACAAAAGCGGCCCTCCGAGGACGGCGACTACGCTCCCTCTGTGTTGTGCTAATGAGCACCTTTGTACAAACTGTAGCTTTTCAAAACCATGCTAATCGGACGCCTGTACTTTGTGTGGCCCTCTACCGGTGGTCGCCTCTCCGAACCCTGTAGCAGCATGGGGTCGCTAAACATTCTGATGCTCTCCTGTCTCGCAGCTACAGAAGCTTCGTGCCGTAAACCTGACCACACCATCCTCCCAGTGTTCCCGCTGACAGACGCCGCGCTACTAGAGTGGACATAATTGTTGGATTGTGTGGTAGCAGGTGGCCCTGGAGCCAGTGTGTGGAAACAGGAGGAGCCGTCCAGTCTTCAGTGGAACGAGGAGCCTCTTGAAGCTACTTTCAGGAGATGGCTTAACAAGGCTTGATTGCATTAACATTTGTCATGCTAAGCATGACAAATGTTAATGCAATACAACACCTGAAAAGACTGGATCTAGCAATAACATGCTGATTTGAGGAGTAATTATGTGCTTTGTATTTTTTCCTTTGTTATATAGTTTGTGCAGCAAGAGAGGCCTTTTCATTCTCTGGCACAATATCTTTTCATTTGTCACTTCAGTGTGCTTGTCCGTGCAGGTTTCTGGTGGTCCCTCGGGGGGGGAGATAAACTCTGAACCTGGTGCTCTTGGTCCCACTAGGGTTGAGGTGTTACTGGCTCCCTGTGCGTCTTCTCTCCGGTGATCCTTGTGAAATGGGTTGCTTGCTGCAGAGAATAAAGAAAGCCCATATCATATTATGGACATGTAACACAACACTGAGAACAAACAGAAATAGATACTCACATAAATCACATTTCCCAGATTCAATGGACAGGCTGTCGGATAAAAATGTTTTAATTTCGTCCACGACTCATGGATCACTCGCTGTTTTAGGTATATTAAAATAAAACTTTGAAGCAATCCTTTTCTAATAGGTTAAATATTAATGAGGTTTTGGTCAAGTGAGCCAAATCCAATTTGGCCCCATATGACTCGTGGACATGGTTATTAAAAGGCCAATCTGTGCTGCTCCTATGGCTTAACTCCCTCCCCTCCAGTTATGCAGTGTAAGAAGCTGTATGTTTTTAACTCCATTCATCATTCACGTTCACATCTCACTGACTCCCTTTCTTTTTAAACATCCTCTTTCTCTTGATCTGGCTCACCCTTAAAGCTTTTTGTTCCTGGAATTGAAGGGAAATATCTGAAAGAGAAAAGGGGCCAATTTCTGCAGAAGACAGAGGAACTCTAAAACAATTGCGCTCCCTAACATGCTTGATAAATAAATCTTTTCAGATTTCCCCGAAAAAAGTTAGCGGCGGTCACACAAGACATCGGTGAGGCAGTCCCAGAGCAGAGGACTAGGGAACTAGAAGTGACATTGTGGCTCTGGGCTGTCTCAAAGGATTAGGCATTACAGCATTCACTGGCATGTGCTTTTGCTCCTTCCCATTATATCTGCTTGTGCCTCTTTCCAGATGACTTCTTCCCCAAACTGATCCGGCGGGCAAGATAATTGATTAATATTTCTTGAGGGAATGATGACTAACCGTTGCTGAGTTTCAACCCAAACACTCGGGTTAAACATAGTCAAAGGCTTGGATCAAAATTCAGTGGTTTCCATATTTGACAGATACACAGAAATGTCTGGGAACTTTGAGTTTGTGGGTGTGTTTACACGCTCAGGGCATAGCAGATAGTCGCCTCTGTCCTAGGTCAAGGTCACAATCTGGATACGCTGTTTATTCACATTTTACATTCTGTTCAACAGAGCGGATATTCACATGAACTAAACCTTTTACCACGCAAATCCAGGTTGTACTTATTTAAGGGAAGCTACCTTATTCTGGCTAATCAATGAACCAGTATTCAAGTTTCTCATGTTTACGTACCAATAAACAATTTGAAAGGTAAAGTAGAAGTCATGCAGGCAAAATTGTAAAAGAATAAAAGCATTATTCTGTAAATGTACTTAATACAGGTAGAAAATGGCCCCTGTCACTCATATTTAAAATGTATTGTAAGGTGTGCCAATGCTTAAGTAGTGTATCATTTTTTTTTTAAACCAACCTACAGTAGGAGAGGGTATGAAGATCTAAATAAATATTGAGGGTTTGTGAGTATTTCCTTCATAGGGTAAGGAAATACAAATATTTCTACCTTTGCTTTTTCGTGAATTATAAGAATAATTTGGGCCTCTAACAGTTAAATAAAGCCTCTTGGTGAAATCCATTGACATGTGATCCGACTCTGGTCTCGAGCCAAAAGGTTTGGGAACATTGGTTTAATATTTAACAATACATTGTATTTTAGGAGATTAGCATGTGTACTTAAACACAGTACTTGGTTACTTTCTACCACTGACTGTATGCAGGTTGTAGGTAAATAATATAAAACGTTTAAATATAGCAACTTATCACAATTATAGTATCTTTGTACATTAATGGGAACGTTGCAAGATCAATTAAACTTGATGAATGAATAAAAGATACTTTCATTCGGCCAGAACACCTACACTTACACTCAACTGGTTTTACATCAAGGTCGATAAAGACATTAAAAAGGTTTTCTGTCAATGGGAGAATTACAGTACATGCATTTATTGTGGGTGATAATGGGAGGTTGAATGGAACCATCTTACCATCTTAATAAGCTCTCATGTGATGCTCTCTAAAAACAATCATTACAGGCCTTCCTGGAGCACTCCCCTTCCCCGTGTTTATTAATCAGCTAATTACACATTGACAGTAATGGGCCTGCTGATTCCCACACTTAAATGAACAGGGCTGAATAGCTCTTTAATGATTAGTCTTTGTGTTTCTCTCTCCTGCTCGCTCTCCTTCTCTCTCGCAGACACACATTAACAGACCATTCTTTTCACAATTGAAAAAAAACAAGACATTCAAATCAGACCTCCCGGTGAGCAGGTTTGCACACAAGCAGAGTCAGAAAGCCCCTGACAGACTCTGAGCTGCTAAAAACAAATCTGTCTTTACAAAAGAAAACAATTAGGGTGTTTACAAAGGCAGCGGGTTCCCGGCTACACTATGTCAACTTGTGTGGGTTTCAGTGTTAAGCTGAGCCTGGAGCAACCGCAAACAACCACCCTGGAAGTTGGTGGAGCAGCGCAGGCAGGTGCAGGTCATAGACGGAGGAGATGGGGAGGGGCTTTTTGAAGGACGCGAGCGGGGTGCGGAGTGGAGCCGGAGAGGGCGAAATAGTGCGTTGGGCTGCATTTCTGTCAGCAGAAGTGATGGCTGAGTGGTAGCGTTATTTGTCTTGTGCTGCCATACGGCCCTCGCACCAGCCTGGGCATTAATGAGAGGGGGCCGGACCGCCGGGCAGGAACACGGCGGGCCCCAGACGCAGGTGATCTGTCACGCAGCCGTCGTGCTCGAGCAAGGAGACACATGAAGAGGGGAGGCTGGGGGGCCGGCCTCCACGTGTGGCACTTTCCAAGACGTAGGGAACGCACTGATGACGTTAATCAGAGTTTAAACCCTGACTCTTCCTGAAATAAAGCACTCTGAGTAAGTTAAAGTTTGGGTTATTACCATTGTCTCTTGATAGATATAAAGACGAATTACATTTTACAGTAGGAGACAGCAGGGGGGGTTTAAAATTGCGATTATTAATTAGTCTGTTTCCGAGACAAGCTAGGGCAATGAAAATCCATCGGGATCTTCACACACACTGACTGATCTTTGCCTTAGGAATATTTTTCATTATATTGTCAACAGGTACTTATTTTCCTTCACATTCAAAAGGCAACATGGTGATATTCTATGATTTACTCATTGCATACATATGCAGCACATTTTGGATCAAATATCAAAATGTGCAGAAATTATACAATTTGTAGCCACCCAAAATAGATCCAGTTTAAATTACAATATCAATGTGCATTTTTTTTTATAATATCCAATAACGTATAATAGAGAACTGGCATGCTTTGTCTCGAAATCTAGTAAGCACTTGTTGGATTGAGTTGGATTGAGTTGGGTTGTTGGATTGACGGTTGTGAGAAAAGCAGAAAATGGGCAATTTACGGCTGAGAAATGGAGTGGTCATCTAATCCAAACAGATACCTGGCTTGATCAATTGTTGTGTTGTTTTTCTTTTTTTTCCCCCAAACCAGTTTCCGCACTTCCACAGCAAGTGCTAAAAGGGTAAAGAAAGAAGACAAAAGCAACAGCTGGGTACCGCCTCAGTAATTCCCCACGGAGACCTGGAAGACACCTCCGGCCGAAGACCATTTTCACTCCTGATTACAGAGTCTCAAATCAAGCGCTAACACGTACAACAATCCACTTCCTCTGGCCAACTCAAACAAAGACCTGGCTGTCGTGTTCACTGAGAGCAACGTGCTGTTCTCTCTTCTAAATGCAGTAAACAATCTTTACATGCAAACGAGATGTTTACCGGAGAACAACTCGGCTCAACAAATCACTGAATCTGATTTAGTCTCTGAACAGATTTATGTCAGAATGGCAACAAACCAAAATGTGTACACGGGGAGTGTGAAAGCTTGTCAGAGTGAATGTGCGTCTCCTGGCCGCGGTGAGATTACTGAAGAGCGACATGCTCCAGCTCGCTGCCAAAGTAAAGATTTATACAGAGCAGTTGCAGCTGCAGAAACTGACATTGGACGACAGGGGATGCATGATAAATCATGGTGGACAGGGGGCACTAGACTCAAGAAGCAGGAAAACACTTTGAACAGGGCTGAGGGGGGTGTGCCAATCAGGGACCCTTCTCCTACACAATATAGGGAACAGATCATCTTGTAGTCTCTTAATCCAAAACACACTATACAAAATCCAAGGGGTCATAGCAGTATTTATTTTGGGAGAAAACCCATGAGAAAATACCCAATCAAACTAAAATGATATGCAGTGATCATTTGTAAAGTGCAGGATTTACAAATTAAACACATTTCTTTGTATTTCTGGAAAAATAATGATTAATTTATCATGTTTTGTTTAAGATTTCAATACATTTATTTCCCCCTCTTAAACCTTTAACAATAGGGTCTGTCAACTGTCCTAAACTGAGGGATGCCCCTTCGTTCCGCATGTTGAATATGAGGGGTCCTTAAGGGCCAGGGGTCCTTTTGTACTTTTATGGGAAGTGGTTCAGCGCTGGGGGGCTGAAGGACAGAGTTGCCGGCCGCTCCATCACTCAGTGCAATAAATGGATGCAATCTGTCCCCAAGTAAAGCATTGGCTGTTTTTAAATTCCACCTCTTTTATCCAAATGAATGATGGACCCTGGTACAGTGCACTGTGTGACAATATTAATATACATCAGAGGCCTACACCCTTCACTAAATCATGGAACTACCGGCATTTGTTATTTAAATGACAAACAGGAGCTGCAGGAGTGGAGCACGGGGAGAGGACGCAGAGGAAAAAGGTGGACAAACCAATTCAGATTTCAATCCGGCAAAGACACAAGGCCCGGAGCCATGACTCTAATGAAAAAAGGCAGCTCCAGCGGTCCAAACAGACACAGCGGCGGCTGCTCGCTGCCACCTGCAATACGGTGAACTCTACATCACTTCTCTTTGTCTTTCGCTTTAAAAGGGAAACTTCAATCGTCAAACATATTAACAAGTCTAACTTCACATTTCCATCTCCTGTTAACTCACAAAATATTTTCCATTCTGTATTTACAGAAACTGGTCAACTGCATTTAGGCAGAGTGGTGCTTTAAGAGTTATGTTAATATGCTCAATCATGAAGCTGATTTATGGCAGGTTTATTTACCATGTACACCTTCATAGGTATCCCAGTGATGGAAAGGTTGTTGCCTGTTCAATACCCAGGTATTATCTGATGTTTCTCTGGCATGCCCCCATTCAAAAGGTGAAAAAAAACATGGCCCCAACATCCTCATGCTAGCGAAAAACGAATCCCATTTTTATCAAAAACATACATAATGAATCAGTAATGCATTGTATAATCTCCAAAATGACAACAATTGGTCTTCAGAGGGGCATGAATGCCTGTACTACATTTCATGGCAATTCATGTTGAGATAGTTCCCTAAAAAACACATGCCAACCTCATGTTGGCATTAGAAAAGTGAGGGGACAAACAAAGCCATTAGGTTTCATCCTCTGAGCACCATGATGGTCTATACAAAACATCACAGAAATCCATCCAGTAGTTGTTTAGATATATCAGTCTGGACTACAGAAGAGGACTGACAGAACCACATAGTTGCTAACACTGCTAAAAACTCAAAGCTACAAAAAACTAAATGTCTCTTATTTTAGGTATCTTTATCAGAGATATCTAGAAATCCTTAACCTGCACGTTTAGTTTCGTATGCACCGACATAACACATGGAAAAATAATATGAGCGAGTGGTGAGTAGGCCGGAGATTCATCAGTATGTGTGGAGGGTGATACCTGATGTTGTGACGGACACCGCTTCTGTTCTCCTCCTGATGTCACTGCGGGGTGGTGTGCACAGGAGACCTCAGTCTGCCTGAGGGGACAGAGAAACAGAGACCTAACGTTACTCCCAATACCTCCCCACACAAACATGTACAAATGTAATAATTCCATAAAAGTCGATAAACGCAAGCGAGGCACATTTGCAAACGCAGCAGTTTACAGTGCGATGCATATCTTGGCCCCACCTTAATTTTTCTTCATTAATACATATTTTCAGCAGATGGAATATTGGATGAGGAGAGGTGCTGGGTGCATGTGGCTGAGTCATTGCAGAGTTCACATAAACAAATTACACCTGCTCCTTGCCTCCTGTGTCATATGTCAGGAGCCCTGAAATAGGAAAAAAGCCCCCCCACCAGCTTAATAGCCCTGACTTCAGAAATGTAAAGTTAAGGTCAAGGTCCGTTCCATCACTGGGAAGGGAGGGGGAGCAGCTGATGTGGTGTGTGTGTGTGTGTGTGTGTGCATGGGAGGAGGGTGACAGATTGAGTAAAACACAGTTGGAGTGTGTGAGGGAGCTACCGTAAGATATGACAGAACATTTTAGTTAAAATCTTGCACATTCTGCTTATTATACACAGGTTAACTGCATCTAAGAGACGATTTAAACAACAATGCTGTTTGAAAATGCTAATAAGCACAACTTGTAAAAATGAATTCATGACAGACTGCAGAACAGAGGCTCATGCAGCACGACGCTCCTTGTTATCCAGCGCCGCTCCTCGCAGACGGCAGGTTACATAAAGCTCACAACCCTAACAGGCACATGCTACAATAAGGCACCGTCAGGGCAGCCTTTTAACAGGCAGCGTGTTCCATGACCTCAACAACCATAAATCACATGACGCGGGTGCAGGCGCGGGGTGTCGAGAGCTGAGCGGAGCATGCTTTGAGCGAAGCCTCTATGTTGTATAATCAATAGATATAAAAAGAAATGGCCTGACCGTTATTCTCTCCCTGCTACCCCTCTCTAATAAAATCCCAGTAATGCATATTTCATTTACTTTTATACTTATTGATTACCTGTACTCCAGTTAGTAAATCACGCGCCTATCGATCCCTCAATCGTAGCTCTGTCGGACAGCACATAACCAGCCATTTGCGGCCCTGATAAAGAGCTCAGGCATTGAACTCCCCACAGTAAATCTTTGCAAACTAACTTTTTAATTCCAAAATCGATCCCCCGCTTGAACGTTGCATTATTTCACGAGGCACGCCTGCGGCATTAAAAGTAATACCCTGATGCATTTGGTCTTAATGTGTGGAGGTCCATCCCTCAATCTCTTCCCTCATTACACCGAGTCCGAAGCACCCCGGGGCCCCTGCAGCCTGGAGGGAGGTGAGGGCCCTTCAGGCTGCAGGGAGCTCAGAGGCAGAGCCAGGAGCCCACCGAGACCCTCAGCACAATGCTAATCAAACATGAGAATACCATCAGCTGGCTCATTAACCAAGCCAAAACACACCATTCATCTCAGAGCAGAACCCAAAGGCTTTTAATAAGCATGTTACATGGCTCCGTGTAAAACTGGGGGAAGTGGTAAAAAATGCACAACACTGTTTTTATTATTCAACATCTGTTACTTCATCAGTTTATAACAGCAGGACAGATGTTGCCCAGTTGTTTTGTCCCTAAATATACAGAAACTGTGATGAGAAAACAAAGATTGACTCAGGGGCAATAAGCAATGAAAAAAACGAATAATACGTAATGAAGACGGCTAAAAACAACTCAATGCTGTCAAAGACACAAGGACACAGTCTCCAAGATGGATTTTTCAGGTCATACGAGACACTTTTAAATGCAGCGCAGTCCCTCAGGGTGCAGACGGCACTGACACAGTGTCAATTGTAATTTTGGCGCCCACATCCAAAAGCAAATATATCAATTAAAAATAATAAATCAAAAGAGGAGTGAGGGGCCACAGTTACAAAATGGCCATCTATTTTCATTAGGGTACACGGTGCTTCAGGTGTGAGCAGGATCTTAAGATTAATAGAGGTATTCAAATGAATCAGAAAGGATTAGGGTCTCCAGGGAGCGTAATCAATAACTCCAAATCAATAATCAATAGGCCACTCACACCAATATACTAACTGCTGACACCAAGATCTCACAATTAAAATGAAAACTGGGGAAGAGAGTGGCGTAAGGCTATGATTTATCTCACAGCGCAAGTGTCATTTAGAAATAAATAAGTCAATAGATAAAAGCTGCCGCTGCCTGGCTCAGCTCAGGGAGGCAGTTATGCATTTTAACGCACCCGCCGGCCCCGAGCATTACAGCCAAATCCCACAAAGCATGGCGTCTATTCACACGCCGATACGAGGATAAACAGCAAGCAACCTCAAACAGCCTTTATCACTTAACATCAAATCTCTGATTGTCGCCGTCAACTGGCGGCAAACAGGAGATGACAGCTTTTATTAATACAGTATCATTTCAACCTGGCCGCCATACAAGATTAATGCTTACACTCTGCCCACAGAGAAAAGACTTTCTCTCAAGGGTGTTTGGAAACAAAGAAAAGTCAGATGTATGGGAGCCCAGTGCGAGAAATCGATCACGCGGGTTAGATGCTCGGAAATAAATGAAAATATAGTGAAGTGAGATCAGGAGAGGGCGTTTTAAAGTTTGTTAAGAGCAATTATACTATTCCTCATTGTAATGCAACACAATAAGTGTAACTGGTGTTGTGTCTGCATGTGAACGTGTGTTTTGGAGGAAGTTAGAGGAGGTGAACGGTGCCATGTGAGCAGAGCTGGGTCGTGAGGACAGAGCCTCCATCTCACTGGAGAGTGGATTTGAGCAGCTTGGGGAGATGGATTCAGCTCGTGCCGTCCAACGGGACACATCAGAAGCCCCTCTCGTCAATCCCCCCTCTCTCCCTCATTCATTTGGGAGTATGATTTATACTTTTTGATGTGAAGGGTCTTGAATCCCACTATAAAGGAATTAAGAGGTCTCCCTTGAGTCCGCCATTCAAATGAGAGCATGGCAGGGATATGAGGGCTTTTTAATAGAGAGAAATTAGTATTCACAATGCCTCAAACTGGAATCTGAAGGAACCTTTCAGGTGGAGAAGAAAGGGCCAGTTTAGAAAAGAAAGCCCTAAGAAGTCGGGGGCTTTTCATAGCAGTCGTGTTTTTGCCCCTCATCAAGGAGTGCTGGAGCGCTCTGTGAACTAACCCAAGAGAGAGGGAGGACAAGGAGTGTGTGTGTGTGTGTGTGTGTGAGTGAAACTAAATTAAGAATGCACCATAAATAGGCCGAGTGGAAACAATACAATGAGGAGTCCCACAGTCTCCAGGCCAAGGGGGCTAAGCGGCTCCTCAAACGTCCCCCATGCAGATCCAACAGATCCAGGGATGACTGCGAGCGATGAGATGCTTTGACAAACATCTCTTGGATAAACCTCTTTATTTTATTTTTTGTGCAGTCCCAGAAATGCAGGGATTTGAAACTGCATTACAACTATGTCAACACATAGTAGTTCTCTTTGGGAACGCTGACCTTGAAAACTATTTCATTTTGAAGTTTTAGCTGCATCGAACTGTAGCTGTCTATTCTCACTTTGCCTTGGACTTTGGGACAGGGTTGACATCAACACTTATCTTCTGTTTATGTAGACCCTGGGGACCACTTTATCAGCTCAAAACACACTCAACGTTGTTTTATCTACTTCATTACTTAACTAATTCTATAATAAATGCTAATAAACCCGGTTTGATACTCGTAACATTTTTCACACGTCTTGTACTTTGTCCACACATATCGAATGTCCACGCGTAGGATGTTAAATGTGGATAATAAGCTTATTTCGTGTGATTACTATTTGTATGATAATGTCTGTATTTTGCCACCTTACTCAATGTGCATGCTTAGTTTGTACCAAGTTACCAATTCAATACTTTTTACAAATCCACAATGAAATGGTTATTATATTAACACAGCATTTGAGTCTGTGAAAGCCCAAGCCGTGAGAAATGTAAGCTAGACTCAGCAAAAAGATGCCTGGAACTCCAGCAACATTTGGCTTAACAAAGATTTCTATAGTAAACAGCGCCCTTTGTTTCCGTAACAGATACATTTCAATGAGACGGTCAGTGACTGGTCCGTCAATATATTGAGCATTGATTAAAAAACGGAATGGAGTCTCCAATAGGCCCTTAAGAGCCTGCTTCACATCCACTACCTGCGTCTGCAGATTGAGGAAGAACATCTGAGCCCGGAGCTCTCTGACACACAGGTAATTGGCACAAAGGGTTTAACCGGAAATTAAAAGTATCAATAAGATTTAGAGTCTGGAATTAAAGCAAGAAAGTGGAGTGAAGAGATGTATAAGGTAACGTACCTGGCTTCTGTCTCGCTTTCCAACAGGAGGCCGCCAAAAGCTAAAAGGACAAAACAGAGTATCATCACTAGGTGCAAAATGATGATGATGATGGTACCACATGAGTTGTGTTTTCAGTTGAATTATTTTTCATCAGTATATCTTACTCTCTCTGGTAAGGATCTTGGGAGTACTGTCTCAGCCTCTCTACAAACACTGGCATGCCCTGGCTCTGTAAAACACAAATCAAACATGCATAGTCAGACACAAAGACCTTAACAAATGCGTCCTACGGCAGAGGAAGATGTTTGCTTTAACCTTGCTGGGGAGCCTCCTCCTGTCCCTCCTCATGCAGCAGGCGGCAGAGCCAGGCACTCGCTTCAGGCGTGAGTGATACCGATACCCTGCAACCACAAGACGCACAGTTATCTTCCTTTGTCGCAAAATCATGTTTAGTACATCATTAATGTTAGTTATAATGTGTCTAAAGCACAAGAAGGCTGCGCATACCTCTCTGAGGGGGCCTTGCAGGTTGCAGGAAGGTGGGGGGGGGCCGGTTGTCCAGCTGGCCGTCTGAGTCCCAGCCGGGCAGCAGGCCGGCTACACTGGTCCCGACCCCGCAGTCCCCCTCGAAGAACCAGTCGCTCTGCTCGTCATCGCCTGTACACGGGACAGGGAGGAAGTCATCGGTTAGCATGATGCTGCTGCAGCCTGATGCTATAACTAGCATATTTGTACAAATGTAAAACCATTGCAGATTTCATTAATATGCCTTAGCAACCCCTGCTTTGTCCAAAAAGCAAGTAACTAGATTACTGATAGAGGATAATGTTGGAAAAAAGGAGGTTCATATTTAACCTTTGTTAAATGCAATGCATTCAAGTGGGGGAAAAACACTTGAAATGCAGGATGAGCTGTTTGAAGAAATGTAATCAACATTCAATTCAGTTGTATGCTATAGTTTAGAAGAAGCTGTTGTTTGGTGATCCTAGGAGCGGAGATTGGACTGACGGATCAGTGCGTCAATAATGACTGGATATCTTTTAGGGTAAACCCCTTTAACTACACTCTACCAACCGGACAACACCGGTCTTGTCCCCAGACGGCGAGCTCTTCTCAGACCTGTCAGTCAGCAAAGAGCACGCAGGAAGCATGCCTCTCACAGTCAAGGTGTAGTGACAACTGTTAAATCAGAGGCCGCCTGGCCCCACCACAGCTAATGAGATTAGCAAAGGCTTCAGCGCTCATTAACACGACATGACAACGTCTTATTAGAGTCGCCTGGGTGCCCAGCAACCAGCCCATTGTATCGAAACCTCCCTCTCAAGCCCCAGCATTCCCTCAGAGTGGGGCAGGGTATCTATCGTCCAAATCTGACAACTCTTCATTTTTCTTTTCCTAGATCATGAACGTTTCATCTGTGAGCTCCAAATACATAAAATCAAAGCAGTTACTTGATTGAACCATGCTGTTCAATTGTTCCCACCATACGTTCAAATGAGGATTTCTTTGAGTACCTTGTCTTCCCTCATCATTGGTGAACAGGCCAGGGTCACTGCTGCATGTGCTGCTGGTTTCCCTGCAAAAAAAGAAGAGAAACATCACATGTGAATGATCAGCTGCTTCTTTAATATCAGTGACATTTGAGGATGGAGGACCCCGTTTTGATTTGTCATTTGAAACCTGGTGGGTTCTTTAGGTCAGACAGTGTTTAAGCGTTTGAAACGTGAACAATGTGAATCAGAAATGTACATGCCCCTGTGATGTGGATGTTTAACATTCACTTATACAAAATAATGGAGAAGTCAGAATCTAGAGGTCGACATAAATGTAAATGACAGAAAAAGACAGAGCGTGCCGTGTTCTCCCTCGTTGCGATAGCGAACACAAAGGCATGAGGAGAGGCTCTGATCGAAGCCACTGAGTGACATGCACAATCTAATTGAATATCCTCCGCTGTCAGCTCCAATCTAATCTGGCCGGCGTTGTGGAGGATGACAGGAGAGCGAAACACATTCCCCTGCCCGCCCCTCCCTCTGGGTGTGCCCCACACACAGAGCGGCCCACAGACATGCTGCTTCCTCACAACAACTGGCCAACATCTGCTGTGTGGGCTGCCACCGCTCGCCCCCACTCTGCTCCCTCACTGCTCCTCTCCACACCCCCAGGCCAACCCCTGTTACAGTGCCTCCACGCCCTCTGCTACCCCAGACCACCCTGGGTTTCCCTGCCTTTCTCACACCTCAGCCACCTTGAACTGGGACCTCCAGACACCCCAAGGTCAGCGGGGGAGTAAGGGGAGGGGTGGAGGGGACAAAGATGGAGGGACAAAAAAAAGGATTTCCTCTCCCTGAAACATAACTCTTCCAATGCTGTTTGTTTACTTCTAACAATCATATGTCAACAGTTTTCTATTTCCAAAAGCTTTTTTCTGAATCGAAAGAGAAATCACATCAATTCATCTTGGTGTAACGGAGGACCTGTATTCATTTATAATGAATCATTCTGATACAGTTTGGGGTGCACTGCTGCCATAAATGCTCACTAATGTGTATCGATCCGCAGGTGAAAATAGTTCCAACCAAATGTACTTCTTTTTCACAACACATAAAACAACTAAAAACTACTGTGGCCAGCTAATTTTTGAAATCTCTTAGCCATTTAAAAAAAGATGCAAATATGTATTTATTTAAGGACAATGATATAATATCAACATTCCTGTAGATGTACAGTATCAGTGTAAGACATCCAGCTAATAATTAACTGTTTTCCTTTTATATCTTATGTATTTTTGACAATTCTTTTGCTAGATTTTTGTCTTTTTTAGGAAGAAAAAACTATTCTGTGACATTTGTAGACTAGAAGAAAGGTATATATGCCAGCCATACATTTTAATAATGACTTTATGAGAGGGTTGATGATTTTGATTGCCTTGCATTTTGCTTCCTGTTCTTCATCGCCGACCTTGCTCATAGGAGGGTCAGATATGCGCTGATACCGTGCTTCCCCATATTGCAGAGGCCTTTAAGTGAAGCAGGATCAGAGATGGTCCGTCCAGCCTGCGCGTCCTCCTGGCCAGATGGTCGCGCACCATCTCCTCTCACATCTACAAGAAGCAGATGTGAGAGGGAGCAGGCCTCTCCGGGGAATCTGGAGGATGCCGTGGCGTAGCAGTCCTGGACTGTCCACCCCCCCCCCTCCTCCTCCTCCTCCCCCCTCAGCCCATCTCTCCAGACTGACTCCCCAGGCCTCTGCTCAGCTGTACCCCACCTCTGGACACACTGGCAGACATCTGGAGCACACAACCCTCCAACATCAGTAGAGGACACAGCCACAAGCTCTACAAAAACAACCATTTTGGATTTGATGCTTCATTACACAACCTTTATTACAATAAGTGATGATCAACAAGCAGTGTGGTGTCTTCTTCCATAGGTAACCATCTTAGTAAAGTGTTTTCATCTTATTGAAGGGATTTTGTTCAAAGTTTAAGAAGAATCACAGGTATAAACAATTAATTAAAGACACCCATTAAGTATTTATCCGTATTAAAGGTGTAATGTGATGTCGCTTGGAGCAGCACAGCGCCGATTTGTGAGACCGTTTTCATTAAGTACTGCCTAATTAATGCAATAAATAATTGAGGCCCCCATTTTTCTTGGGACCAAAAGAAACACCTCTTCTTTTCTCAGCAGTGACCTTTGTCGAGAAAAGTTGACAAACATTTGGCGCAAACTTGGTCTTTGGCTGACACACAAAATACCACCTCCCCCAGTCTTTAAGTATTCTATCGTGGATTAGGTGCTATAAAGTAAATAAGTCTTAATTACATAAAATGCCATATGTCCATGGTGAGACAAAGGCAAGGGCAAAGACAAAAACTGCACTGCTGTGTTTTTAGAAGTTAACTTAAGTCCCCACATGGCCCTATTGTCTCTATACAAGCTGGAGAGGTGAAGCAAAACACAGTATCCAGATGAGCACTAATCATTAGGATATAATCCTCAACTCCTGGGAGAGGCAGAGCAGTTTGCACAGAGATTACAGGCTAGCCGCCATTTATTGAGCTCGGGCTCATTCTGCAGAGGAATAAAGAAGAGGCAGAGACGGGGGGGGGGGGTGGGGGCAAAGCGCTGATAACAATGGATCTGTGGGCTCTTCAAACAAGCCGCCCCAACCCAAATCCATGCCCTCTTCCATGGGTGTCTGATTATAAGGTTATCCCACCATCCCTGAGCTGCAGTAATTGGATTAGTCGCAGAGATTTATGAAAATTAACTTCGGCAAATGCTGTACGAAAACTCCTCGTATACTTTTCAAAATATAAATTACAACGCAGTGTGGGAACAACATGCTTTGTTTTTTTCTGGTGGCGGAGTTAAAGTCAGCGGTAGCAGCTCACAGCTGGAGTCGGAGGCTGGGCCCGGGACGGCGTCTACCCACAGGTGAGGCCTGCTCGCTGGGCCAGCCTGGGTGCCAGGTGGCCTCACTGCCAGCAGGCTGGGCCAGCTCTAATCAAGGATGTGGAGCCCAACTGGAGCCGCCAACATCTGCTCCCCTTGAACCTGGGTGGCTGAAGGCAACGCTCTGCTCAGTGTGCGCGTAAGAGGAGTGACCTTGAGGAGAGGCACGTTTAAAGAGACCAGACACTCCATATGAAGGAGGTTAATGGAATGAATGGAGACCAAAGAAGTGCTTCAAAAGACATTTCAACAATTGCATCGGTGTGTGACATTAAATGGGCAGTGCACTCTCTGAGTATAAATGTTGCTGTTGTACCACTGTCAGTGTCAACCCTTCATCAATGCTGACATTTGCTCGTATCCTTTGTCTTAACCATCAGATTGTTCAGCCCTCGGTTCAGTGTGGCAGTCTGCTGAGCAGCAATCAAGAGTGTTGGCGTTGTGTAAGTGAGAAATGATTGACAGCGTGCCATGGTGTTCCCATTTATTTCTTCTCCGGAGCTGTTTTCTGTCAGAACGACTATTGATTTTTCCATAAAGTAAGAAAACAAGTACCGTTTAGGGGCTAGGGAGGTCAGCACAAATTAAACCAGAAGATGTAAAGCCTTCTGTCTGTCCCAATACACATTACTCCAAATGTCTTCTTCTTCTTCTACAGGTTTTATAGATCAACAGATAATGAGATCAGCAAAGGAAGTACCCTGTGAGGAGCATGAGTAGACGTGGACAATGAGAACTCCAAGGCTCAAAACTGTTAATGAATATTATATTAAAACAACTGAAGTGCACTTCCCATTAATTCTGTCTATTTATCAGTTGATTAAACATGGCATGTATTTAATGCAGAAACACTATTTATCCATTCTGAAAAAATAAATATATATTTAAAGTAGGATCATCATTAAAAGCCACCACAGAGACAGCTTCATCCCGCAGGCAATAAGACTGTTAAACAACTGAACTGCTGAAACAACTTCATAACATTCATCTGCTACTTAGTAATTATTTATCTATTATCTATATATATCATTCCAATAACTTGTATATAGACTCGTATTGCACTATTCCACTTTTTTTTCACATTTTTTTAAAACTATTTTTCTTTTTGTATTACTTTTAATATAATATACTTTAATATTGTTTTAATATTGTCTGCGTATCTGTATTATTGTGTTGCATTATTGGAGAAGCCTGTGACCTAAGATTTTCAATTACATAATTACTCTGTAGCTATGTTAGTTTGACAATAAAGAACCTTGAACCAAACTGAATGATATGTAAACATTGTAGTTTCTTAAATCTTATCTAAAGCACTTTACAATACACTTATCGTTAAAAGCTGCTATAAAATGTAAGGGATTTGGGTTGTTGACTGCTGCTCTGGCAAAATAAGACAAATGAAACCATTTATTTGTAGCTTTACCATTGTTCAAAAGACTAAATTGTTATTTTTTTTGCAGCTTTTTATATTAGAAAAAGCATGGACTAGGTGACAGCTAAATATAATTGTTACATTGAGTCTTTTTCATTCTACAATATATTTGAGTGTTTGCTTCACTGTATTAACAAACTCTGTGCTGCCTGTTACAGACACATTTAGTTTCGCTAAATAAAATACACACAAGACGGTGCAGTCTGGGACACTGGGACAGAAAGGAATTAATTTCAAAATAAATCAATACCACACCAAGTCACTTATTTATTTGTGACAATATTGCTGGAAAGGAAATAATGAGCTGGCAGATGCCCGGAGGCATAACTATCAAAGATCCCTCCCTGGTGATCATTCCAGCTATAGGAGATGAGGATGAAGAGACTATCATTCATTTTTAATGTCAACTCAATACTTTAAAGTGGAGTGATATGATTGTGATATGATTTTTTTTCTGGTTTGGTTGAGGACATGCTGAATATTGACAAGTGGCTCGATGAAGACAGGCAGCATAGATCATCTTAAATGTCGCCATGTTTAATTGCTCCTGTCTGATAGTAGTTATGCCCATGACTTTTATGTTATGGGTTTAACTGCCTTGGTAACTTTCCATTTAAAGGGTAAAAAGGGCTTTTGGAGTTTTGAGCTCCTTTTTCAGAATGGTTTTAATCCTGACTTTTGAAACAATGACAGGGTTAACATTTGGCTTGTGGCAGTGCAGTAAATTAAATGTAGGCTTCTGAAAGCTGGATTTGCTTATTTTTCACAAATGATTAGCTAGAAAAAATTATCTATTCTTAAATGGATGGCGACTTTTGACTGGAGCTACTGTAGGAAACATAATGAATGTAACATTACCCTTCAGACATGTTCTCATCTGCAGCATCTCTGTGTTCCTTGGCCATCTTCCTCTTCCAGCACTCCTTCCCCATCAGCCGGGCTCCTTCAGTCGGTCGGTCTGCTGCCACCCAACCTCCAGACCTTTTCTTGGATCCCGCCAGATGTTGCATCCTGGACGGCTTCTGTCTTCTTTTCCCATCTACACTGGAAACCTTTAACTTCTGCTGCAACCTAACCGTGACGTCTGAGGTCATACGTTTGACCTTCCTCCTCCTCTTGAGCTGCCGTCCTGGATTATTCTCTGTGAAGGAGTCGGACTCTGGCCAGGAAGGCTGCCTATTCCTGACCGGGCCTCTCATTACGGAGCGCCATCGGTTGGTGGGGGTCACGTCGTCAGAGTCACTGCAGTTGGCCACAGAGGCGGCGATGGAGGAGGAAGACTTCTCTCTGTGTCCTTTAGTTTCGTCTAAGCTGGACTCCGAGGCCTCGATCCAGCAGCGTCTGTGCTGCAGCGGATAGAGGGAAGATTGACGGTAGCGCCTGTGGCCTCTGCTGCGACGGATCTGCCGGCGCTGGTGCAGCGGACTCAGGACCATTTCCTGCCACAGCTCTCCCAGCTTGCTTTGCTCTGAGGTCTGCTCCAGAGCCGACACCAGGTCCTGCACCAGCTCATCCATCATGGTGCTGGAAAACAAAGATACAAGACAGAGTAAACACAGAGAGCGTAACACCAAGGATGATGCTACATCAAAATATGATACATCAGAGTAGTTGGACATACAGCAGCCAAGACAATAAACAAAAGCTGAACGTGAAGCCAATGCTGTAGTGCCTGAAGTGAACAATTCTATAGTTAATTTTCCTTGGTATCATGTTAACTTGATAGACAGATGTCTCCAAGTATTACACTCTGTAGTGATGTTAAAGCGAGCAAATGTGGTATTATGGCTCCAATACATTTAGAAATGTAATAAAGACATTACAGACTGAGACCTTGTTAAAATATCAGTTTGATGTGCAGGTTGCCAAAAGTGATAGTCAAATCCAACATTTCCAAAAACAGAAATTAGTTTGACAAGGATGTGAAACCATGCGATAGATTATCTTCAAAAATGTTGTGACTGCTTTCACTATAACAGTTTATGGCAGTATTTACATTGTTTTATGTAAATGCTTGATCTTAATTCATCAGTTATCATATGATTTTATAGATAAGCCAAGAATTTCCAAGAAAATATGAATATACCATTATTATCAAAATACCTTTAAAAATAGACTGTTGAATCCATAAATAAAAACAGGGGTTACTTTCAATGAAAGATTGGACTCATATAATAACTGAGCACTGATACAATATATTGAAATGCAAACTGATCATTGGAGTTGACACATTCCATGCTACCATTTACAGCTGTGGATGTAGTCTCTCACATTGCTAAAACAAATAGACAGAATGAAAGGCGTTATAGTGGCTTTTAAAAAAAACGATAGAATATACCCAGGCCTTTCCTAAGGTCTGACACTGAAGGAGCGAAGACACACTGTGTAACCTTTGTTTGTTTTTTTGATTGCAGCTGTGTTAAAATGAAAGCTTTGAGCATCTGCACATCATTATTAGCTACGAAATTAAAACACCTCCTTCATAACAAGGTAAGAACGTGACTGAAGCTGAACAGCATCAGTGCACCAAAACAATAGCAGACGTGCTAGACTGTGTTACATAACAACAGCTAACACGTGAGCTCAGCACAGCCACACATCTTCCGTTAAATCAGCTAAACCAAACGATTAACAGCGATTTACTCAGTCACCGTGTCTTAAAACGACTCCTAGCCGCTATCATGATGTCATGATTTGATATGCAGATGGCTGTGTTTGAGCACTCACCAGTCGCAGCTTGTCTTGTTTTGTTTTCAGCACAGCTGGGAAACAGACGCACTTCCGGTCTGCTGTCCAGCCAATCAGGTGTCTCCACTTGTAGTGACTTTAAACAGCCCGCCACACTGTCCAAGCTTCTCATAAAAAGCCTGTGGTTTATTCAGATAAGAAGCAGAAAGTCAGCCTGCTAAACTGCAGATATAACATTTACCTTTACTAGTTATCACCGTAACACTCCTATACAGGGGCGGTTCTAGGAGGGAGCCAGGAGGGGGGGGGACTTTGGACCCCCCTGAAAATGAAAAAAAAAAGTTTATGATTAAACGATTTATTGGCTGACGGAATAGGTGGAACCAGCGCCATATAGACTGAGAGTTACGTCATCTCCGTTCACTCCAATGCACCACTTTTTTACAGCAATCGTGGAGCCTCTCAATCGTTCCCCGGAAGTTAGCGCCAAGGCTAGCAGAGCTGTAGAGTTGCAGCATAATAGACCGTTCGTGACGGACTTTTAAATGTAAGAAGAAGTTTAAAGATTTATATTGCGGATATTATCAGTACATCTGATTCAAATTAACATGTGTATTAAAGGATGTCAGTGGATTATCCCTAAATTAGTAGATTTAGGGAACGTTTACAGGTAACAGATTAAGCTAGGATACCGAATCAAGTTAGCAACACACGTTGAACAGCCTTTTAATTGTAAATTCCGTTCTCTTAATGTCATTTTGTCCAACGTTGTTGAATTAGAGAAGAGGGGCTTCTAAACCGGATTGTATGCAGGGGTGGAGGGAGTTAAATATTAGATAAATATAACTTTGGTGCGTGTAAGAGTGAGTGTTTTTAGCAGAGCCATATTGTGTCCTTGTGATTATGTTGATTACCTATCTGTATAATGTTGCAGCTCAGCTGATTTTGGATTGATGGCAAAGGGAGAGGGACTTAAGTGAGAGTGAAAACACAAGGTAAGTTTAATACTACTGTTTTATATAAGTAAACACCTTATCTCCCCAAGGCAATTTCCCATCCAATAGGTGTGCTATATAGGTGTGTATAACCCTGTCTCCTGTCTGTTACTCCCTCTTTCAGCACAAGAACCAGAGGGGGATTCAATGGAGCCTGAATACCTGCACTGAGACCCTCACCCTGCACCCTGAGTCTCAACTCTGTGTTTTTCAAGCCTTTCCCTGTTTTTTTGTATTAAACAAAACATTAAGCTTTCCCAATGGTGTGGTTTTCGTTTTGTGAAAAAGTGCAAATGCAGTGTTTGTATATAATTACATCACATTTTTTTTTGCTGTTGGTCGTGAAATTGCTCCTGCTGACTTGAGCCAGCCATTTTTTCCTCCGCTCTGTGTCAGTGGGGAAGCCGTACATTCGTACTCCTTTCTCGGAGCGATTTGAGCATCCCCAGGCAGCACAGCAAACCATGGTGGCGACTAGGAGGCAGCACAGCAAACCAGGACAACACGGAGGAAAAGGCACAGACAAACTGCATGATATGCTATTCAATGTTTATTGAATTCCATGTATTTGCAATGGATGTTCCTAAAACAACACATTTAACATCATCATCATCATCATGCTGCTGCTGCTGCTAGTCCTTTGATAGTCACCTGTCGGTCTCCTGTCCTTTCTGAAAGCCATAAAGATGACATTAGTCATTTAGATAACTTGTGTCCTCAATTACCATGGGATTACTGAAACTACCATGAATTTAAGAAAATGGTAGAAATTAATCTAATCTGAATTTTAAAGCATTACTTTAGATCCCCTCCCTCTAAATATATCAATAAACATTAGAAAGTGATGCTCCTGACTACCATACAAGTTTAAGAAGATAATATTGGTTTTAAAGAATTCAAAGCTATAAATAAACGGCAACAGGCTCTTTAACCAAGGCACTGATAGCCTAACATGTAAACTAGTTGTTCACACTAATCCTAATATTATCACTTAATATTAGCAAATTCTATTTTATTTTTTAAAACATATTGATGTAAATACATACACATATCGATTTGTTGTATACATATTGCAAATCAAAACCTTTATTCACTAATAATTACCAAAAATCGTAGTTCTATCTCCTGTTATCAATGCATTCACATTGCCCGCCATGAACTTCCGGGGAACGATCCTCGTCTACATGAACCACGTGACGATAACGTTTTTGGACTTCCGTTGTCGTAACTCTTCTATCTATATGGCGCTGGGTGGAACCAACGCTATTTGTCATTCTAGTCAGACTCATTAGAGCGTAAAAACTGTAACTATAAGTATCTGAAATAAATATGTGTACTGAAACAAATACCAATAACTGTATTGCATAGTTTTCTTATCATAGGCGGCGCCAGGGGGGCGCTAGGGGGTGCTGCAGCTCCCCCTAGGATAGCCATAGCACCCCCAAGAAATGTATGTCTTTTTTAATTTGTATGTGTGAAATTCATAATTTGAAAAATGATTGATTCGAAAATAATATGCTACAGTACAGTACAAGTAGCCTACTTCTGGGTCTCTGTGTTTCATTCAAGCTCTGCTCTGTGTGTGTGTGGCACGAGCCATTTTGGCCCAATCCCAAACCGCCCCCTACACCCTACACACTACCCCTACACACTACCCCTCCGTTCGCGCGGAGGGTCCGCCACATTAAGTGCTGTTCCAAACCAACGAGTGTGGAGCGGTGTGGAGGAGGAGTGGGCTATCAAGCCCTCAAACAGCGAGTCTGCAGCGGTGCTGACTGGAGACCGGTCTCTGCCTGAGTGTGTCTGTCAGGAAACATGCTGTTTACAAGTAGTTTCAGCAAACATCCACTGATAAATTGCGATGTTAACAACCTCATGATAACCTCATATTTTTTTAACTTAGGATGATAGGCTACCTGTGTTTAGTCTAGAAAAAGGTAAATGTGTGCATTTTATTATAAAGGTGTGTATATTTACAGACTGTTGCAAAAACTAAGAAGCTTATAAACATCAGGTTTAAAACTAAAAGAGCTTTACAAAAAAGTAACACAATTAAAGATGTCTGGAGTTTTATTTGAGTTATTAATTTACATTTTTGTCAAAGAGATGCTGATTTGAAACCGTTGTTACATACAGTTACGGCATTTCCTGTTTCTGCCGGAGAGAGGGGAGTTTGTCCCAAAGCTTGCCGCTGTATTTACTCCCTCTATCTGACAGGAGGGAGCCTCATGTGTCACTCCACGGATTTCACTCCGTCACGGAGGGGGAGTGTGTAGGGGTAGGGTGTAAGGCGTGGTTTGGGATTGGGCCTTAGTGTGCGTGCGTGCGAGAGAGAGAGAGAGCGCACACCGGTACCGGAGATCGTTGTGGTTAGCATCTGGTGCTAGCTAGCTACGCTAACAGATATAAGGAGCTTTTTCAACAACAAGGTGGAGTGAGAACTCTCGCCTGTCAGACTGAGAGTCTCAGATAACCACAGCTCAGTGAGGTAAAGGACTCTCTGTGTTTAGATAGTTAACTTTAGTCTTATCTCAGTGGGTCTCAAACGTTTTGGTCACGATTAATGTAAATAAGTATTTATGAGTAAATCTGTTTACAGTTCTGTTTCATATGGGTGTTGAGAGATGTATCCATAGATCTCCAAATGCTGCTCTCAAAGTGCACCAGATTGATGCTTTTCACTTGAAAATTACAATTAAAATCTTCCCGGGGGAGCATGGCCCCGGACCCCCCTACAGGATGTTAGGTCCACCTCCCACTTCTAAAAAATAGCACTTTATCCCTGCTTACACCTATATGCCGTGAGCTGATTATCGAGCCTTCATTGTAACAGTCGCGGATGTACTGTGTATGTGTGTGTGGGGAGTGTTGCAGTAGAACATTTCACTGTAGCCCGGTACCTTAATGGGAAACCCTACATGTTTGAGCAACCTCTATGAAACGTCAAGCAACCCCACCGCACCCCCAAAATAAAATCTCTGGCGCCGCCGCTGTTTCTTATGCGCAATTACTTCATACTGTCTTTGTCATACTGCATTTATTGTGCCCCCCTCAGAAAATAACTGGCCCCAGCCTGGCCCCCCCAGTCAAATTGGTCTAGAACCGTCACTGCTCCAGGCTGATATTCAAATCTCCTTTTTTTATTGCAGTTTTCCTATAATGTTTCTGTGATACTGATATCTAAGAGAATTGTTTTTGATCCTATGTTGTAGTTTATTTATATTCCCTATAGTGGGCTCCTAGGCGAAAAACAAATACATAATCTCTCAAATAAAGTCTAAAATGTATTAAAATAAACAATTTCTTTAAAAGATCATTCATCTACGGAGCCCCTAAAGGGACATGTAAAAAAAAAAAAAAAAACAGAGAGAGAAAAAAAAAAGTCAGGATAACGAGTTAGTATCTAACTGACTTTTTTTTTACTAACTCGTGCGCACTTTTTTTTGTTGAGAAAGTTACCGGTGCGCCAAGGAGGAAGTGAAGCGCACAGGAGACAACCATTTCATTGCAGACTGTTATGTTTACGTGGGGAAATGACAGTGCATACATTATTTGAGATATATATCGTACTTAGACGGTTAGTGACGGGCGGTCCACTTTGGTACCGGCCCAATGGGATTCGTCCCGAACGTCCCGATGGCCAGTCTGCCACTGGCTCTCTCTCTGTGTGTGTGTGTGTGTGTGTGTGTGTGTGTGTGTGTGTGTGTGTGTGTGTGTGTGTGTGTGTGTGTGTGTGTGTGTGCATGCGTGCGTGCGTGCGCGTGTGTTCTGAGTGTTTGTTTCCCTATAAAACAGCTGCGGGCAGCAGGTACTCTGAGAGTCACGGACATTAATTCATAGATCAAAGCAGACTGGTTTACAGACTCGCCAGTGTTTTGCCAATCCGGTGGCAAGAGGGTGGCAGGAGATTTTGAGGGGTGGCATCCCCTGACAGAAGTATATGCTGATTTAAATCGCAATCATATCAATCAATTAGGGGTGTAACGGTACACGTACCCGTACTGAAATTATTCGGTACGGGCCCTTCGGTTCGGTACACGTGTGTACCGAACGAATATAGCGTTAA